TCCATTTCTCAGAATGACACTCACATTGTGATTTGAGTAATAAGTAGAGGCAATGCTTGCTCGAGATCAATGCACTATGTCCACGTCCGGTAGCCGCGTCCGGTGTTTTCGTATCACCAAAAAAGGTGCGAACATGCTTTATTTATAGTAATGACGAATACTGCGTCGCCTTCCTCCAACTCATTTATTTACAGAATGAACAGTGGTGTAGGAGTTTGAATGCGAAATTATTATGGGTCGTTTTAATAAAAACAGGATGGATAACTGGACTATCCTCTACTTTTTATACATGACGTAAAACCACGCATCATCGTTTTCAAATGAGTTCAATCGTCGGTTCCGCACGAGCGAGGAGGCGGCGCAGCGTCGGCGCTAGCGACATTGGCACAGTTGCGCACGACCTCACCGGCTGCAAGTCGACCGAGGCCACAAACAAACGCCCCAAAATGAATAACATAGACGTCTGAATTCCGGCACGCCTGAATCATGTCGTATAAAAGTAAATCCGAAGTGTAATCACGTCAATAAACTAGAACTCGAATAGCTCGATACTAACGCTGCTTGCCAACAGAAATTACGCTGTTCAAAGTTTCCGTCCAAAAATGTAACCAACAGGAGGTTATGCAATTCTAATATTAACAATACCATTTACGTTTCACTTAATTGTCAACTCTGATATCTGATATTCGTTGAATACGGGCAATTTGCTGGACGCCCAGTAGGTATTATGCAAATAAGTTTGTCACTGTAAGTATTGTTGGCTTACGCCAGTATGCTGTAGCAATTCGGTTACAAAATATTTTGAAAACCAAGTATACGCACGCCTACTTGGTTACTTGGTACATATAGGTACGTTCTGATGGAAATTATTTAAAATTTTGTGATCAATTTTGAAAAATTCAATTGCACTTAAACTTGATAATTACTTATAATCATAAATTGTAAATATTTTATTATTTTGATGAAAATTATGTTGCAGGCGGTGGCCGGGCCGGTATGCGACGCGACGGCGTCTGCCGGGTCTATCGCGAACAGATTTGGCACATCCGCTAGAGAGTGCCAGCGCAGCATCCATAAATATCTCGTCCCGTTAGCGCCGCCGACACGATTATAAATTTTCGCGACATGAAAACATTTGCAAATCTATTAATCTATACATATAATAAAATTGTAACTAAGCCGAATCTGTATATTAAATATTTTTTTGAAAATCGTATTGAAATAAACATTATTATCGATAAATAGGCCAAATCTATAGTTTTTAGAATTTTTGTCTGTCTGTCTGTTACCGCATCACAGAAAAACTACTGGAGGGATTTTGATGAAATTTGGTATGGTGATAGCTGGTTATCCGGGTCAACATATAGGATACTTTTTACCGCGGGAAAATGTCTCATTTCTGAGAAAAAATACAAAAACTGCAATGTAAGAGTATAGTAATTGTAAAACCTAAAAATTTGAATTTTGGTCATCTGAACGCGGGCGGAGCCGCGGGCAATGCTAGTGTATAACATTTTATGCTTATAACCTTGATGTTTCTATTATCTCATATTATTAGGTAGATATTGAATTGCATAATGAAAAGCGCTTCGTATGGTGAGTTCGTCATTGTTTGCAATATACGCGATCACCCGATCCGGCTTCTAAACACCGCGTTACGCAAAAAATGTCGGGTTTTGTTACCTGGAACTGGTATTATTATTTTGGCGTGGAGTAGGCGGGATGCGCCCGAACAATACGTCCACGACGACAATATTTTATTTTATACCTGAGATTGTTTACAAAGGTTTCCTCTTGTTTATTAGCAAGTCGCGGGCTCCGTCGTGTCTGGTGTGTAATAGCATGTAGGTATATTATTTACTTCTTTTGAAAATCTTGCGTGGAAAATTATAATTTAGAAAGATTCAATGTTAACAAAGACTGTTGCCAAAATGTATTTCCGGTTAATTTTTCCTTCAGATTTTAAACATTAACCACGTATCATTAAATATGGTATTTGTATTTATACCCTAGCTTACCAGGATATCCAACTATTAAAAATAATAGAAAAGATTTTATTTATGTATAGAAAAACGAAAATAAAGACAGCAGAAACAATTTGATTATCTCGCAGGGTCGAGTTAATCTACCTGAGTTATCGATTTGGAAGTCTCGTCCGGATGCTTTGATTGAGGTTTCCTTTAAATGTATTCACTATTTATATAAATACTAGATACCAAATATAAGCTCAAATTTCGTTACGTGACACAGACTTACTATATCACTGTTTTACTTATTACAAAAAATATAACACAGACTGGATGATATTTATATATAATTAAATTTATGTGTATCGCTTTTTAAAGTTTGTAAACTTTTTAGCGTTTTAATTATCATGTCAAAGATCGTCGTAAGAAGCTCAGAGAAACTCTTTAACGGCTGAGGAAAAGTAATTTCATTTACTCTCAAAGGAGAAAAACTAGGGACGAGTGTCGAGAAAATCCACTTCAAAGCTTCAAAGAAACGTGAAATCAATATTAATGTTCTTATTTACCTTTGAGACGGTGCGAATCGCGGAATATCACGGCATGCAGTCCACCGGATGACTCGAATTTATAATCAGGGGTGCCTTTATACTGGAGACGTGAGAACGGAGGTCGCAGGGCGGGGTCACTTGCTCAGATTGCACCTTCCACAATTGAAACTTGTGACAATTCTCACGATTGAAAAGAAAGTATAAGAATAATCTTGACCACCGCGGCATGTGCATAATCATTAGAATTTATTAGGGCTACACAAGGTCAGCTGCGAGTATGCAAATGTAATTTGACCGGCTGTTTAATCAAATGTTAAAAATTGTCTGGGAAAGTTAGACACACGCCCAGTAACGGGAGATGGCTTTGGGTCAAGATCCTGTCATACAGCTGGCTACCTGACATGGAGCGGTCCGTTAATATCTTAAAAACAAAAAGTAACATTTCCTTTCTGAAATGACACATGGCAAAACTGGATCCGCATCCGCAGCTTACTGCTCGATATTTGTATGTGGTTGGACATATGCTTAGAATAGAAATAGAAATGTGAAATGACATAGTGTAAAACTTCGTTTGTTGCTGAAATTGTAGCGACAATATTTGTCTTTACATGTTCTTATTTAATTTGATATATTTATTTTTAGTTTACGATCTTTATGTAATAAACAAATTCAAAACATGACCTCTTTGAAAGGTAACTTTAAAAAGGCTTCTTAAGTCGCAGCGTACTTGCCTCTGCGGCTCTTCTATTAAGTAAAAGGTGAAGCAAAAGTTTTTACATTTGAGCCACGGTGCCCGTTCCGCATCGCGAAACGACGCTTTTGACAGCGTTCGCTTTGATGATACTCCCCAGAAGGGTATTAAATTTTACCTTTTTTTACTGTCTGTCCACTCAAAAGCGAACTAAGTTAATACTGTAGCGTAAATATAGACACAGGATTTCGTTATAAAGTACTGTTGTCGGTAGAAACTCTTAAAAATACTATTTTCAGTATAGTCTTCGTGTCAATGGTATTTATAAATCCGATTGACAAAAGTCACACAGGATAAATGAAATAGCCACAGGTCAAAGAAATCATTATTGTCAGAATCAAATCTGTGGAGGCGTAATGAATATTGTCTCGGCTGGGATGTCAAGGAGACCTCAACGTACAAAAGTTGGACTTGGGTTGTTGCCCCTTTCATGCGAGGGAGGTCGAGATTAGATTGGATTGAAGTGAACAAATAAATTCAATCTTAGCGAGGTCCTAATAAACGATGCCTATCAAAATATTTATTATATAAATATAATTAAAAATCTTTTGATATAATAAATTGGTATACGGGTCAGGTGAGTGATGGGGTTTTTATATAATCCCAAAAGTATTTTACGATGGTATGCGTAGAAGGGTGCATAACATGAGTTTTGTTTATTTTATTAGGGAGTTAACAGGATCAGGTGATTAGATAGGGGTGGCAGGTACCCGCGTGGCTGAAGCATAGGGGTCGTATAGAGTGCGTGAGGTGCGCGGGCGCCGCTCACCCTTGACCCGAATGTATTGTACGCAGCAATGACACCGCTCGCCTTGAGCCGTTAGCATTGCCGGAGATATTCGCAACAATGGAGGCCAGATAACGTTTCAAAAGTCGAAAATCCGCCGGTTCCTACCGGTTGCTTGTAATTAATAAAGCCTTTGAGTAATTATTTGTAATATTTTCGCCTTTACTGCAATTCTTGTTCAATATGCCTTGTATTATTTCTTATTTTTATGTATTGATTTATAAATATTGTAATTGTTAAACAATAGTAACTTGTTATTGAGGCGGTACCAAAGTAGAAACTAAATTGTAGTAGCTTATCAATGTACTTTCCTAATAAATTACTTGATAACACTTTGTCGCCTTTTAAAACGCGCTATCCAGTAGAAAGGAAATGAAGCTACTCGATACATATATCGTTTCCGTTTCCGACGTTTTTGTGTCTTTGTAATACTTTTTCTCACGGGCTCTTTATAGTGGGCGGGAAAGGAAAAAAGTGCAATTGATTGATATGGGTTTTGTAGTAATTTTTTATGGTATCAGCTGTGTCGTATTTGTATGTAACAATTTTGATACATGATCCAGTACAGAAATGCAGGTAATTTTGTCAATATATATTACACAAAGTAAATGATTTTCGATTGCGAGCTAGAGATATCGTCAGTAGGGGACCGTTGCGTCAGTTATTTCATTGGCAAAATTTAGCACACGGCAATCCAAACGGCTGACTGTGTTGTACTGCGATAATGTAGTATTTCAAACGATTGCAATTTATACTAGACAAGATTTCTCTATATTAAATCAAGTCCTTGCGAAAACATAACATAAAGTTAGGAAATCATCAGCGTTCTACTCAATGAGTATCTATTTCTGTATTTATATTAAATTATTGCAAATTAATTATATTTCATTCATTCATTTCCGTTTTTACATGGATAGATGATTTTTTTTTATTTTAAATCAACTCACCTTTGAGGATCAGCAAAAACGAACTTCCGTAACTTGAGATCTCGTAACACGATGCCTTGTTCATGACACGCGGCCACAGTTTCTGCCATTTGCCTGAATAATCTTCGCGCTTCGTGTTCCCTGAGCCTTTTTCTCGCCCGTACATAAGAGTGGAGGTCGGAGTGCGATCTAGGGAATATTAGATACACCCTCTTTTCGCCAACAAGTACTTCGTGAATCGGGTTCACATGTGGGTGCCCGTCGAGACGGTAGTGCGCTTGTAGGAGACTACTGCAATCTCTCGATACCACCTACAAACAAAAATTGGGTTGATACAATTGGAAAATCTTTTGACATACTAAACTATTAATATATCACAGCACATAAGTAAAATTGAAACTTAAAATGTTTTAAGTGTATATAAAAGTTATACGGTACTTTAGGTGCATTATTCTCCATGAACTTGTTAAGTTGGCTAGATTTAAATCGGGATAAATATTATCCTGTCTAGACCAGTTTGCTCGGCTAAGCCAAACGAGTTGTGTTTTAGCATATTCTCTACTCTTATCAATAAGTACAACAAGAATGGATCGTCGCTTTCCATGTGTATAATATTCAAGATTACATAGTACATATTTCAAGGCAGTTCTATTTAAATCATTTTTAAAGGGTCTAGCTCTAATATAAATGACGACTTAAACGTATACACAAGTGAATAGATTGACCCTTTGCAAAACAGCGAATGCTATTTAACGGAATCCCGTTTGTAGACAGATGTTCGTTTAGAAATCACACACACTTCTGAATAGCTATTAAAAATTAAGTTACTAAATAAAGAATGATTTATTTTCAACCTTCCTCTTTATAAGTTTATCATCGAAATATTTCCGTAATGGTTATTTTAGTCTAACGACTGAAACCATTTATTTCTAAAGTAACACGAAATGTCAACGACATTGTGAACGCAAATACCAAATCTGATTTCTCGACTCACGAATGATGAATCATGTCGCGTGCGTAATAACATTTCTTTTTAATCATACTTTATTAATAGAAAGCATTTGAGATTTTTTTTTACTCCGTAGACATTTCAGCGTTATATATATATATATATATATATATCTCTTTATATATATAATTCTTCTGTGAGTGTGTATGTCACTGAACTTCTCTCAAACGACTGGACCGATTTTGATGAAATTTTTTGTGTGTGTTCAAGGGGATCTGGGAATGGCTTAGATTCACAATTTGAATAATAATTTTCATCAAAATGATCCAGAATGTTTTAGCTTATTAAAAAAAGTTTGAAATTTTCAAATTAAAGACGTGTAGACAGGACAACGTCTGTCGGGTCCGCTAGTATATATATATATATAAATGTAAAGCAGACGTGTTTTGCGAAAATAATGTGACCTATTTGCCAAGTGTGAACAAAAATTATCTGATAAGAATTCGCAATAGTTGAAGTTATTGATAATATTCGGCTCCAAATGCTTTTCACGGCAGCTAACCTACTTAACGCTATCAATATTTATTTAATCACGAGGTGTTGCAAAATATTTACCTATCTGGCTCTATGTACTTAGTACAACTTTACAACTTAAAGTCAATAGACGATCCCAAATATAAAATTGATTGATATGTTCAAACAAATCTTTTAAAAATGTAATTTAAGTTTTGCATGTAATATAAATAAGTTACTAATTGAAATTTTATTCATGAAGATATTAAAATATTACCTAAAATTATTTCCTAATACTTAAATATAATTATGAAACGTTACTGACATTTTGATAATTTGAATGAACTAAATAAAAATACAGTTTTACGATATTATTTAATGCCGCATGTGTAAGTCTCGGCGTGTCTCCGAGATCTATATTAATATTGTAGTTAAACCAGCAATGAACTTGGAACACTTTACTATCGTGCTAATGGAATCGCTAGTGGGGGGAGCAGTAAGAGGGGGCCACGCTAGCCTCGCTGTGACATTCGGCGATCGGTGCGTTATCAACTCGTCTATTTCACAATGTCAATGAGAAGGTCAAGCTTATTTTCGACGCGGTATCTATGGATAACGTCTTTTTGTCTGTAAAATCAAATTAAACAAGATTTTGCTGATTGTAGATTTTTTGCTTCGCGTTACAAATCTCATGCCTGTATATGTATTATACAACAAATATATTTGGAATAAAGTAATATAAATGTGGCAGTAGTGTCGGCAAGAGGCGATGTTGTAAATATACTCGACGTTTAGCAACGATAACGTTGCCTCACTTAACCTTGCCAAGTTCTCACGAGGGAAGTGCCTATTCTGTGCCTTGACAATACCTGTATGGGCCTTTGTTAGCACTAGAACTATGTATCCTGTGTTGCCTAAATCCGTACCTACCTATATATATACAAGGATGATCGAAATAACAAGTTTTTGAACTCGTTTCGTTATCGTATTGTGACGCTTAGATGATTCAAACCAATGCGGAAAAGGCTTTACTACCAAAAAGATGACGTACATATATCTCGAATTGCGCCTAATTTTTCAGTGATGACGCATTCCATGACAATAGATTAAACGTTTGATTGATCTCTATTTAATCTCACGTTATGATTGTTACGTTCGCGTTGAAATTAGCGTTATTGTTTGATCGTTGCGAAAGTCGACACATGACATTGTAAAAACGGCGATGGCTCTGGCCTACAAGTGCGATCGAGCAGCGCGAGACCATGACATATAAAGTTTGACATCGACGCTTTTAACGAACAGAAAACAGTTGGATTTATGAACGATAAGCTTTAATTTTGTGTGAGAAAATTAAGTTTTGGATGGCAATGTAAAAGGGATAGATACAATTGTACTAAAGTTAATTTGAGTTTGTGTAACAATTGATTAATTGTAATAAAAGGGAACGCCATGTGGGCATATTATCGAGAACTTGGTTTATCTCCATGGGGTGTCTATCCCGTGGGATACTAAGAACCCTTTCGATCAACTACTGGATTTAACTTATACTTGGAGAGTAATAACGATTCGATTATCTTTAATATAAAATTATAGATAATTCAAAATTAATAAGGGTAATGAGAGTATTATGTATACCTATTTACTTGCATTTGCAGTGTAGAAATAGTATATTAACAGTAACTTTACATAATAATTTACCAGTAACTAGTCATAAATTAGTTAATTATCGACTGGACCAGAGGTCGAGTAAAACAAGAGATTACACACTGTATCAATCAAACAAAAGTACGCAACTTCTGTTGAAACCAGGCACAATTTCAACACGACACGCGTTACGTATCCCGGTCGTGTCGTCTCGAATGCCATGATAAATCGTTATGCCTAAATGTCTTTAAAAGGGAACAAAGGCTCCTTGTTGGTCATTTGATATCCATTTAAACTTGGCATTGTCAAGTCAATTTTTTTTCCATAGTTTTTAATAGTATTCATGGAGAATTTATTAAATGTACTTACGTATTAATCAATTTTACTGGGTTATAATTTATTTGGCAATAACATTTACAGTTTAATGTTAGTTTAAACAATAGTTTTAAAGTTTAATAGTGAGTTAACAAAATAAAGAACATTCAGTTATTAATAATAATATCTAGATTTTAAAAATACAGGCTACTAAGTCAAGTTATTTATGCTACCAATTTCGTACTGTGCGAAGCCGAGACGCGGTCCAACTGGTTTTCGTTTATAGTTTCAGTTATCGATATAGAATGGTCACTTACTTTGCAAACGTATTCTTCTTGCGTGCGCACGTCCACACACCGACACAACGATGATCCCTCCACTTGTTCCAAGAGAAGATATTTTTCAGCTACCAGAGCCGCTTGGAACTGGTGTTGAGGGGGTGAAGGGCTAGCTGGGGCTGGGCTCGAGGGTGAGGGTGCTGCAGATAGCCGGTCGGCAAGGCTTGGCGACTGCGCTCTCTCCTCCGCTTTGCTGTTCTCTCCGGCAGCCGGCACTGAAACTGTCACCGCAGGCTTGCTCAGGCGCAGCGGCCATAGCAACGAAGGGGATGCAGGATCCATCACAACACAACAACACGGTCACTGTCACAAATACACTAATGTTCACAGAACACAAACACTTAAAAACGAAGAAGGAACTACGATGAGATGAACATGATCTGCAAAAGAAATGAAATCCGATTAGAGATTTCGCAGCACACGTCCGTCGCTTGCAAATTCATCGCATAAGAGTTAAGACATAGAGTCTTACAAAATTTAAACGAAACTATGAGACAATCGGCGATTTAGTAACGCGGTTTAGTAAGGGGAAATCGTAAAGTACCTACGAATACGGTACGAACCTTGAAATGATTCGCCCAGAGAGGATATCGTACCAAAATTTGACTGTCCGTGGTGGCGAATTTCGCACTATGAACACCGAATTACAGGAATTAAATTCGCGTAATTCGAACACGTATAGACAGGCCAATATTTTGGGCCGGTGTCCGCTCGGGTTCGGTGGAAACTAAACGAACACACAACCGCCTCCCATTAACGCCATTGCGAGACTAACTCCGAGTTCGTGACGAGGCTGACGCGGCGCTCGGAGCCTCGGGCCGGCAACCGATCCAACGTCCAATGTCGACACACCGTCAGCTTGCGTAGTACGCGAACATACGCCATGCGGTTTGTAGGCGCAACGTCAATACACTATCTCTCTCTTTCTAACGCATCGATATATCACCCTCTAGAGAGGGACAGAAACAGACCATTCATTTACGTTTGGCAATGCAATGATGTCAAATGTGTATACAATTTCAATATTTTTCACAACAATAAATTAAACAACAGAAATAAGTTTGGTATTTTACAAAAATGTAACAATTGCGAAAATTTCTCGTTTCATGGCTGAAACTTAAAATGGACTTATAATGTTTGAATACATTAGCTCGTACAGAGCTGGATCTTATCGATAGCTATTTAAGTTTAAATTAATGTGTAATTTCATCACTATATTGCAAAAATAAATTACTTAGTTTATATTATGATCGTAGGATGATTAAATTACTATCAAAACAGTAATTTAGCTTTTAATATTTTATCCTAATACAAAATAAATTATAATCAGTAAAAGTCATTTTATAAAGCAACGTCCTATAAACGACGCATTATGTAAATATGTATTATGTACATTAACTAGAACAAAATGTAGGACGACTATTAATATAATATAATAATATATGCAAATAAAAAATAAAAATCATTATTACACTAGTATAAACTTTTGTACAAACAAGAACTCTAAAAAGGTGATTATTATTTTAAATTATGAAATATTTATGATAGTTGACACTATATTAGCTGTAACTGTAAAAGTAACAGCGACCTTTTAAAATATATTGTATGACAATCGAATGTTATGCTTGTGAAATCATGTCATGTCTTGTTTCAAATAAAATTTGATATGAGGAGAACAAAAACTGTAATAAATATTTAAAGGCGTTTGAAGTATATATTATAATTTTAAATAAATAAATATGTTGGGACATTAACATAGGCTTGTGCTAACTTTAAATACATACATATTATAAATATAAACACCCAGAACTGGAGTACAAACATTCGTGCTCATCACACAACGGAATACCCCCCAACGGGATTCATTACAAACTGAGCCAAACGTGTCGTCACTGAGCCCAACGTGTCGTCAAAATATTAAAATTTGTAAATGAAATAAGTATAACTTATATATACTATATTTTTATCAGCTCTGAAAATAATTTTTTAAATAAAATGTTGCAACAATTTTCAAAAGAATTGAGCAAGTTTAAGCATTTTATGGCAGCGACCTAATCATACTAATATAAATGCGAAAGTTTATGAGTGAGTGTACATGTTTGTTATTTCTTCACGCGAAAACTGGAGAACGTATTGTACTTGTGTTTAAATGAAACGTGACCCACATATGTATAACTAAAGAATATAAATAACAGAATTATGTATACAAATTATATGAATCAATATTATGAAATATTTGAATGAAAATAAAAACAAAATTAGGCACGTTTTAACGATTAGTGTAATATCCAACGGGAACTGTACATTTTTCCGGGATAAAAAGTGAAAGTAAAGAAAAAAGATATGCTATTCCACACTAAGTATAATCTCTCTCTGTTCCATACATCCAAATCCGTTCAACTGTTCCAGGGCGTGATTGAGTAACAAAAATCCATCCAAACTTTCGCATCTATAATATTAATGGGATTACATTATATTATATATGACCCGAGTAATAGGTTATCACTACACAAAATTTAGTAGGTACTTTTTGCGTCAAACGCGCACACCCAACAGACGAAATTTTTAATAGCTAGGTATCGTTTTGGGGATCTATATTCTGTACACAATATGTTACAGTAATTGTTTTTAAAAAATATTTCATGTATAGATTTCGCTAAGTTACTGTTTTATTATATGTACTAGCGACTCACCCTCGCTTTGCTCGGGTTCGCCCCTAGGTTTATTCCCCATACGAACTTTCTTCCCCATTTTCACCCCCTTAAGGAATGATTTCCGGGATAAAAACTATCCTATGTCCTTCCCAGGGTCTCAAACTATCTTCTTACCAAATTTCATCTAAATCGGTTTAGTAGATCCAGAGATTACCCCCTACAACGTCACAAACTCACAAACTTTACCTCTTTATAATATTAGTATAGATATATGTAAATTATTAGTAGGCACTTGAAATAGAAAAAATCCTATTTTAGGCGTATTTATAAGTAACCCTTTTTATAAGTTTTTACTCACAGACGCGTAAAGTTTACGTAACAAAACCAACAAATACCCAGTCTCCCATAAAACTTTGAAATAGCCGTGGTAATTTTATCCTCGCTTAATATTTGAATTTCACTTTAGTACTTACAAACTGGATCAGTATCCTGCAGTAGGGTTGATACATTTAAAAAAAATGGTATTTTAGATACCTACCATGAATAAATGGAGGAATTAAATTAAAAAGTAAAAAAATAAATATAGTTATATCACATTTACTTCATTTTCGTGAGATATATTTTGTATTAAATAGTTTATATAAGTTAAATTTTAGGGTCTGACAACCCTTCACCTTAGGTATCCTGTTTGTACTTGTTCTTAACAGCCCGCATCTTGCACCTTGTTACCAAAAGCGGAAGCTGACAAACATTGGGCAGAAGTAAATAGGGAGTTTAATGTTCACTAACATATGTGATGATGCTAGCCCGAATGAAATTTGAAGTAAAAATGATTGGGATTTTCATTCAACATATCTAAATGTATGTATTTATAAGTGCAATAAAGAACTTATGATAATATTATTTTATGTAACCAAGACTTTAATAGTTACCTACCGAATTATGTTCAGTTTATTCATAAATATATTTTTTTATAAACCTTAATCTATACTAATATTATAAGGAGGTAAAGTTTGTGAGTTTGTGAGGTTGTTTGGTAGGTAATCTCTGGATTTACTAAATATATTTTGATTAAATTTGGTAAGAAGGGGGTGAAAATTTGGATGAAAGTTTGTATCGGGAAGCAAGCAAGGGACGTACCACAGCGAAGCGAGGGTGAGTCGCTAGTGCCTAGTACTACATAAACAGAAGCAAGTTGTTGAAGTAGCAGTTGCTTAAAAAAAGCAAAAAACTTTGAACGAGATTACCATCTATATTACATATAATAAAATTATTACTAAGTCGAATCTACATGAAATATATTTTAGAAAATCTTGTTTAAAAAGAAAATATTATCGATACAGAGGTAGAATCTATAGATTTTAGATTTTTTATCTCTTTGTCTGTCTGTGACCGCATCACGAAAAATCACTGGAGGGATTTTGATGAAATTCGGGTCAACATATAGGATACTTTTTACTTCGGGAAAATATCTCATCTCTAAAAAAATTATACTAAGCCAACACATTTTAATTTGACTATCGTATAAGGAAACATAAAAAAGTTTAACTGTTTTGAAACGTTTCTTTTAAAAACAAAAACGTTCCTGAACAATGCAGTTCTTGTACCAAAATTATCCTTTGTTTACTGTAATTATAACAATTACCAGTATTACTAAAATCAGTGTTACTTGAAATTTGTCTTAGTGTGCTATTAAAATCTAGGAAAACTAAAAAATAAGTACCTATTTTAAAAAAAACTTATATTGTCATAAGATCACTTACCACGGCTGAAGCTCGATGTATGAATGCCATGAAAACTTATTATGGTTTATCAAGACTTAAAAATTGTGTAACATTGCACAACCAACTAACACATTATGTAAATATGCATGAGTCTCTGTAAAAAACTGAGTCCTGGAAATTGTTTTCATAATATGACGATTCCATGCTATTTTTTTATAATATGTAGTATCTATCATATGAAAATATAATATAATAATAATTTAATTATACATTAATTAGAACAATATAGAGAATTATTTAGATAAAGCGGTTTTCGTCTTGTTGTTTTTAATATGTTTTTTATACACGTTGATTAGTAAAGTAATATGATCATAAACTTTTATGCAAAGTTAGGTAGCTCAATTGCCAATATATTAATATGGAACTGTAAAATAAATAAGGTATTTCAAGTTAACGATATTTAATAGGTTAATTTCCCATACAAACTTTCATCCCCAAATTCTCGATGATTTCCGGGATAAAAAGTATCCTATGTCCTTCCCAGGGTCTTAAACTATGTTCTTACCAAAGTTCATCTAGATCGCTTTAGTAGATCCAGAGATTACCCCCTACTACGTCACAAACTCACAATTCACAAACTTTACCTCTTTATAATATTAGTATAGATAAGATGTAAAAAATGTTATAAGTTACTTAAAAATATGTAAGGATTACTTTTATAAGCTAGATAGATTACACAAAATAGATAGTACATTACTCACACTTGTATTGTATTGATTTATATTAAGTAATTTAAACGAGTACCTATACCTAGTTTTTCATGTGGACAACTAATATGAAATATCATTAATTTCGCGCCGAATTTTTTTTTTTTACTAAATATACTGCATTTAATCTCTTTAGC